ACATAGAAAAATATAAAATTAGACCTGTTCTTCATACTATTACACCAGGATAAATTCTAAACAGATCAAATATTTAAATGTATAAATGAAACCATGCAGGTATTAGAAGAAAACTTAGGTAAGTTACTTTACAACCCTAGAGAGAGAAGGTTTTCCTAACTATGACTCCAAATCCAGAAGCAATAAGGAAAAGGACCGATAAATATAATTACATGAAAAAAACAACAACAAAAGACTTTTTCATGGCAAAATATACTTTGCATAAGCAAAGTTAAAGGAAAATAACACACTGCAAAGAAATATTTTCAGCTTACATCACAGATAGAGCTTCTAAAAATAGAGAAGACCAGCAACCTTAGAATCAGGTTAAACCTACGTTGCTCAGAGATATACCAAGATTTTTACAGAAAAAGAAATATAAATGGCTCTTAATCATATGAAAATGTGTTCACTTTTGCTCTTAATAAGAGAAATGCAAGGTAAAACTACCCCTTTCTCAACTATCCAATTAGCAAAAATTCAAGATTTTGATAACGTACTCTGTTGGCAAGGCTGTGGGGAAACAGACACTGTTAGCCATGGCTGGTGGGGATGCAAAATGGAAGAGCCATCTGGAGGGGAATTTGGGAGTACATAGAAATATTAACTATGCAATTACACTTTGACCCAGCACCTCTCACTTCCAGGAATTCATCTCAAAGACACACTGGTAAAAATATGTTAGATATATGCATATGGCTATTAATTGCAGCACTATTTTTCATAGCAAAAGCCTGGGTACTATCTAAATAGTAGAGGACTGGTTGATTAAGCTATGGAGCCATCAGCAGAGTAAGAAAAGTTTTTCTATACTATAGAATGATCTCCAGGATGTAGGAACTGGTAAAGCAAGTGGAATACAACTGTGTACAATACACTGCCAGTTACCTAAGATAAGCAGGAATACAACGAAGTCACACATGTACTCCACTGAGAAATCGTGGAAGGATAAACTATAAAACTGAAAAAAGTTTCCCCCATAGGGAAAGGGAAGACATAGGGTCAGGGGGATGGAAAAGCTAGATTTCTTTTAATATATCTTATTTTATAGATTTGACTTTTGAGCCACATAGATATTTTACATAATTATAAAATAATATCCATATATTTTCAATACAATTAGCCCTAGAAATAAATGAACCTAACTGTGTATTCACTTGGTGGCATTAGCATACAAAACAACTACACCCAGTAATTTGAGTATACATTCCTTTAGTAGGTTATACCTTAATAACAAAAACAAAGAAAAGAACCTGTTTTTGGTAGTCATATTATTATTTTGAGTTTGCGTTTGTATTGTAGAAATCAAATGGGTGATTATATTGAGGTCACTGAGACTAGAGGTTTTGCCATGATTAAAAGGAAATACAGATATAAAATATCCAATAAGGTTAATGAGAACTGGTATTTCTGAATTTTAGTAGTTAGGATAAACTCATATTTTAAGTGTATATGTGTACATGTGTATATATATCTATGTATGCATATACATTTTTGACATATATATAAATTCATAAACATTGCAAACACTGTTGATTCCAGGTCTGTGGCCCAAAACATGATCCTGGGTATAACATGCGCCTGGAATATCTTGTCATACCAGAAAGCAAGGAAGCTATCAAACGTTTACTAGGGTCATGTCAGAATTCAGGAGCAAACCTGAATAAGTGCCACTGGTCAAAAATGGGACAGTCTGAGCATCAATAAAGACAATAACTGTCATGGACTGAAACACATCACATATGTTTAAATCAGCCGGGCGCGGTGGCTCATGCCTGTAATCCCAGAACTTTGGGAGACCAAGGTGGGCAGATCGCCTGAGGTCAGGAGTTCGAGATCAGGCTGGCCAACATGATGAAACCCCGTCTCTACTAAAAATACAAAAATTAGCTGGGCATGGTGGTGCATGCCTGTAATCCCAGCCACTCGGGAGGCTGAGGCAGGAGAATCGCTTGAACTCAGGAAGCAGCGGTTGCAGTGAGTCGAGATCGTGCCACTGCACTCCAGCCTGGGTGACAGAGGGAGACTCTGTCTCAAAAAAAAAAAAAAAAAAAAAAAGAAAAGAAAAAGAAAAATATGTTTACATTCATAACTTTTTAATGGTACTAAACAAAGAAATAAAGCAACAAAACTCACTGGTCACCTTTGGAGGATGCCCAGGTAAGAAACAATACATTTTAAAAACTGGTAACTAGGCCGGGCATGGTGGCTCATACTTGTAAATCCCAGCACTTCAGGAGGCTGAGGTGGGTGGATCACCTGAGGTCAGGAGTTCGATACCAGCCTGGCCAACATTGCCAAATCCTGCCTCTGCTAAAAATACAAAAATTAGCCAGGCATGGCGGCACACACCTGTAGTCCCAGCTACTCGGGAGGCTGAGGCAGGAGAATCGCTTGAACCCGGGAGGTGGAGTTTGCAGTTGCAGTGAGCCAAGATCTTGCCACTGCACTCCAGCCTGGGCGATAGAATGAGACTTTGTCTCAAATAAAAAGAAAACTGGTAACTAAGGGAGAGAATCAGCTGCTTTTCATTTCACTTTCTTCTGATGATCTGTACTCTAGCATGGCCAAAGGATAAATAAGTGGACATTTTTCTTTATGGAAGTTTTCCAGCTAATAAACAACTAGTGATATATTATCATTAGAGTATCACAGTTTTGCAACCAAAATGAGCTAATGGATTTAGGCAATACTCATCAAAGACTATTAACATCACAGATAAGCAGCTAGGTGTTAGGTATATTATGATGGGAGTACATAACGCCATTACTTAACATGAAGTAGTGAATACTTAACATGAAGTAGTCAATAATACCAGAATCTGGTCAAGCCTCTAGATCTAACCACCAATTTATAGGAAACATACGGTGCAGAAGGACAGACATTTAAAACTCACAATACCGAAGTTATTTCTTCATTTTTTGTATGATCATGGTAGAGTGGTTAGTTTTTAAGTGCTTATCTTTTAGAGATACATTCTGACATACAAAGGAAACAATGTGATGTCTGGGATTTATTTCAAAATACTTTAGCAAGCCAGGCACAGTGGCTCACACCTGTAATCCCAGCATTTTGGGAGGCTGAGGCAGGCGGATCACTTGAGGTCAGGAGTTCAAGACCAGCCTGGCCAACATGGTGAAACCCCGTCTCTACTTAAAACACAAAAATCAGCTGGGTGTGGTGGCATGTACCTGTAATCCCAGCTACTTGGGAGGCTCAGGCAGGAGAATCACTTGAACCTGGGAGGCAGAGGTAGCAGTGAGCCGAGATTGCGCCACTGCACTCCAGTCTGGGCAACAGAGCGAGACCGTCTTAAAAAAAAAGAAAAAAAAAAAGTTTGGCAGTGTGGCGTGGATAAGGTTTAGATAAAACAAGATTGGATGTACCAATAATCATTGAAGCTGGGTGATGAGTGCATCTGATTCACTATATTAGTCTCTCTGCTTTTATATATGTTTGAAAATTCCCAGTAAAAAGTTAAAATGAAAAAAATTAAAAATATTCACAAAAAGTTGTTTTTCGCCAATAATTGCCTTAAATTCTACTTTGTTGTTAAAATTGCAATACTGTATTTCATTTGGCTGGTGTTTGTAATTTTTTTCATCTTTTGACTTTAAATCTTTTTATATCAGTATAGTTAAGGGTTTTCTTTTGTAAGCAGCGTAGAGCTGGGTCTTCCTTTTTTTTTTTTTTTTTTTTTTTTTGAGATGGAATCGCGCAGACTGGAGTGCAATAGTGCTATCTCAGCTCACTGCAACCTCCGAGTCCCGGGTTCAAGCGATTCTCTTGCCTCAGCCTCCCGAGTAGCTGGGATTATAGGTGACTGCTACCACACCTGGCTAATTTTTTGTATTTTTAGTAGAGACGGGGTTTCGCCATGTTGGCCAGGCTGGTCTCGAACTCCTGACCTCAGGTGATCTGCCCGCCTCAGCCTCCCAAAGTGCTGAGATTACAGGTGTGAGCCACCTTGCCCGGCCTAGAGTTGGGTTTTTAATCTTTTTATACACTTTGAAATTCTTTGACTCTTAACTGAAATCTTTACCTTTACATTTAATGTAATTTCTGATATCTTTGCATTTAAATCTGTATCTTAACACACACTTCCTATTTGTCCCATTGTTTCTGTTTCCCCTTCCCCTTCTCCTGCCTTCTGTACTCATTTTAATGCTCAGTGGTTACCCTAACAATTACAACATGAATCCTTGACTTATCAAAATCTAATATAAATGGATACTTTTACCTCATCTCACACAATTAAAGGACCTTAGAAGGCTTAAACTCCATTTACTCTTTTCCAGCTTTTATGCCACTGTTGTCGTGTATTTCTATCCTGTATATGTTTAATTAGTTAATATTCATTGATATGTACACATGCATTTATATTGTCTTTGCTCTTCATTCTTTCCAGAATCTTTAAGTTTCCTCCTGAGATCATTTTCCTTCACCCTGAAGAACACCCTAGACTGACAACTGCCCATGACTACACTGGGCCTTGTAGAAAACTACGGTTTTTGTGGACAAGAGTGACCATGACACTTTAAATCAACTACTATTAACTTCTATTAAGAAAAGAGAAGATTTCTTTCAAAAGATTCCTGTTTTTACTTGTATGGCAGTATTTTCACTTACTACCTGATTTTATCAGCCTTGAAAATATGATTCCTTTTTTTTTTTTCCTTTGAGACACAGTCTTGCTCTGTCACCCAGGCTGGAGTACAGTGGCGTGATTAAGGCTCACTGCAACTTCTGTCTCCCGGGTTCAAGTGATTCTCCTGCCTCAGCCTCCTGAGTAGCTGGGACTACAGGCGCCCGCCACCACGCCGGGCTAATTTTTTATATTTTAGTAGAGACGGTGTTTCACCACGTTGGTCAGGATGGTCTCGATCTCCTGACCTCATCATTTGTCCACTTCGGCCTCCCAAAGTGAAGATGTGATTTTAACTAATGAGTTGAATACTTACTTTGAGGAACTGCGGCACAGGATAATCCATGCTGTAATAATCACCAGACCACACAGCTCCCTATAAAAGGGCGTACATTTCAGATTTTGGAAGTGGCTACAAGTGAGATGGATATCATCACATTCTCTCCAGGACCACCTGATAGCGCATTCTGATCAAATGACTCTCCCTCAAGATCTATGGCATTGATGGAATATTTTCAAGTCTGACCATGATTCATACATTACTTTTTTTAGATAATTTAAAGCCTTGTATGAAAATACGTTTCACCTTTTTTTTTTTTTTTTTTTTTTTTGAGACGGAGTCTCGCTCTGTCGCCCAGGCTGGAGTGCAGTGCCCGGATCTCAGCTCACTGCAAGCTCCGCCTCCCGGGTCTACGCCATTCTCCTGCCTCAGCCTCCCGAGTAGTTGGGACTACAGGCGCTCGCCACCTCGCTCGGCTAGCTTTTTGTATTTTTTAGTAGAGACGGGGTTTCACCATGTTAGCCAGGCTGGTCTCGATCTCCTGACCTCGTGATCCGCCCGTCTCGGCCTCCCAAAGTGCTGGGATTACAGGCTTGAGCCACCGCGCCCGGCAATACATTTCATCTTAAAAGGCAGATATGAGATCCCTGACTGTGCCCTGATTTATAAGTGGATCCCCCCAAAAAGGAAATGAATATTTTAAAAAATCCACAGATATATCACTTTTTTCAGGTCGCTGGAAGAAACAGTGCAACTAAGAAAATCCAGATTTGATCAGTCAATACTTTTACATTTTTTTTTTTTCTGAGCCGGAGTCTCGCTCTGTTGCCCAGGCTGGAGTGCAGTGGCGCAATCTCCGCTCACTGCAAGCTCTGCCTCGCGGGTTCACGCCATTCTCCTGCCTCAGCCTCCTGAATAGCTGGGACTCCAGGCCCCTGCCACCAGGCCCAGCTAATTTTTTGTATTTTTAGTAGAGACGGGGTTTCACTGTGTTAGCCAGGATGGTCTCGATCTCCTGACCTCGTGATCCACCAGCCTCGGCCTCCCAAAGTGCTGGGATTACAGGCGTGAGCCACCGCACCCGGCCAATACTTTTACATTTTTAAAGAGGCTTCAGTGTGAGGCAGAATGAGCCCAAACCAATATGTAATCTGTGTATATACTACAAGAGATCGGGTCACTTCTTAGGGGAGAGGAATGATTTGTAGTACAAATCAGACTAATAATTTGGGGGTGGGTATATGCTTCTATATATATGTATTAGACACACATATCTTTTATATAGAATAAAAAACAATCACTTCAGCCATAGTACACTAGAAGCCCCACCCTGAGTTCACTATAACCCATGGGCTTCATGCTGGAAGTGATTTAACCCATTTGGTCTACATTCTCATCTACAGACCCAACCTATAGATTGGCCCTCCAGTGTTCTGAAGATTGGGGGTTATAACAAAGAAGCACCTTTTCAGTGATGTTTAACTTACATGTCTATGAATTTTGTTGTTGGCAGATGTCAGCAGGAGTAGAAAAGAAAGGAAAGGCTCTATTAATAAGTCCTCGGAGACAAGGGTGGGAGGAAGCAAAGGAAGAAGTGATAACACAGGAGCAAGTGGTCATGACAAGGAAATGATACAAGACATACCAGGGCAAGCCTAACAGGTTGACTTAAAGGTTTGATCTCTAGGCTGGGCACGGTGGCTCATGCCTGTAATCCCAGCACTTTGGGAGGCCAAGGAGGGTGGATCATGAGGTCAGAAGTTCAAGATCAGCCTGACCAACATGATGAAACCCTGTATCTACTAAAGATACAAAAATTAGGCCGGGCGCGGTGGCTCAAGCCTGTAATCCCAGTACTTTGGGAGGCCGAGACGGGTGGATCATGAGGTCAGGAGATCGAAACCATCCTGGCTAACACGGTGAAACCCCGTCTCTACTAAAAAATACAAAAAAAACTAGCCGGGTGAGGTGGCAGGCGCCTGTAGTCCCAGCTACTCGGGAGGCTGAGGCAGGAGAATGGCGTGGACCCAGGAGGTGGAGCTTGCAGTGAGCTGAGATCCGGCCACTGCATTCCAGCCTAGGAGACAGAGCGAGACTCTGTCTCAAAAAACAAAAAACAAAAAACAAAAAACAAAAAACAAAAAAAAACAAAAATTAGCTGGCCGTGGTGGCACACACCTGTAATCCCAGCTACTCAGGAGGCTGAGGCAGAAGAATAGCTTGAACCTGGGAGACAGAGGTTGCAGTGAGCAGAGATCATGCCACTGTACTCCAGCCTGGGCGACAGAGCAAGTCTCCGTTTCGAGAAAAAAAATTACTGACCTCTGAGATGGCTGATCATACTTGTAGATAAGATTCTGCCTTAAACCAGAACTGAATCAGAGGCTGACAGAGTTCTCACCATATTAGATCGGACTGAGTATTACTGTATAATACCCTTGCTAGTTACAAGGGGACCAAAGTCCAATGGCCTGACAGTAATATAATATAATATGTAATGACTGCCAGTAGCAGTGATAATGAAGTCTGATAGATGGGGCTGGGTTTGAATCCTGGCTCCATTATTTCCTCAGTTTCATCAGCTTATAAAGAAGATAATATCTTCCCTGCTCCGCAGGGTACATTGGGGCAATTGAGTTACCATTGTGCTCAGATGGGGTGTTGCAAACAAGATCCCTCAGTTCCAGCCCACAGTTCTATCCCTCCACAGGGCAAACATCACCGCTCACCTGCCTTCTTCCTCATGTAAGATGTTCTGTTGTGTATGACGCAAGAGGTAGTACGCCAAGCCAACAGCCCACACCATACAAAAGAGTATGTGTATTGCAGAGATACTTTTCCAAATAACATTACCTAAAAATAGACATCCTGATGTTGTTAATCGTGGAACCACAGCCCACAGAAAAAATATGATCTTTTTGTATGTTTTGCCATAGTCTGCTTTCAGAAAAGACATTCAGACCCCCTCACCCCCATTGCTCTTTTTTTTTTCTAGGACAACACAGAGGTCATAGCACTAATTATAAACTTCAGTGGCCATTTCTCGTGTGGGTTGCTCAGCAGCTCCCCTTCCTAAGACGATTACCCTTATTTTCTTTGGGGATCCACCATGTCCACACTCCCAGTCCATGTTTCCCAGCAAACTGGACTTTGGCTAGGTCAATCAATGCATGTTATCTCCTCAGCCACGGTGATTTGGATCAGCACAAACGGACAAGCAATCAGAGCCAGCAACGGCATTCTGAGACTTTGGTAGAGTGAAGACACACAGTCCATATTCCACTGGACGTGGTATCGTGAAGATGTGAACAGGGGCTGCAGGGCCACTGTGTGGAGCCCAAGAGTGAAATCAGCATGACAGACGGTGGAACTGAGAGGTGGAGAGAAGTTAAAAGTTCCGAGGCCACCAGCCTAAAGCCAGCACCACCCCTCACCTTTTTCAGTAAACTGGACCAATGCCTTTTCTTCTCAGCTCATAGCACATTTGAGTTCTTTTTCTAGCTTGTATCTAAAGAGGCCCTAACTGATCTACCTTAAAGATGCAGATGGAATTCTAGCTCCGTACATCTCCATACAGGGAGCCCAGGCATCTAGGGAATTAGAATTTTCCCCACCAAGGTGAGACTCATTAGTCTTTATTCTAAGGCCCCTGAGAACATTTGAGTCCCACTAGGAGAAACGATTTAAAAGAAAGTGAAGAAGAATCTGTCCTGTCACTTTGGTAAAACAGAAGACGCTGTTTTATAGCAGATTCATACATTACTTTTTTCAGATAATTTAAAGCCTTGTATGAAAATACATTTTATCTTAAAAGGCAGATATGAGATCCCTGAGTATGCCCTAATTTATAAGTGGATCCCCCAAAATGAAATGAATATTTTTAAAAATCCACAGATATATCACTTTCCTCAGGTCACTGGAAGAAACAGTGCAACTAAGAAAATCCAGATTTGATCAGTCAATACTTTTACATTTTTTTTTTTTTCCTGAGACGGAGTCTTGCTCTGTCGCCCAGGCTGGAGTGCAGTGGTGCGATCTCGGCTCACTGCAAGCTCCGCCTCCCGGGTTTACGCCATTCTCCTGCCTCAGCCTCACTAGTAGCTGGGACTACAGGCACCCGCTACCAATTTTTTGTATTTTTAGTAGAAAATGTCCTTCTGACGTTTTCCTGAAGATGGGTAAGGATGATTAGAATTAGCCCCTCTTATTATCAGAAACGAGAAGAAAGGTCTAGAGAGCCCCGTTTTACTTTTGGGAGTTGGGCAGATAGACCCTCGTTATTATGAGGAAATCCGATTTGCTGTCTCTCCATTTAGAATGCAAGGCTTATACCTGTGACTTGAGGGTTAAGTCCAACAAGCAGGGTCAGTACTGCAGGGATTGTGTACACCACCTGTTAGCAAAAAAGGGAGGAAATTACGTGAGTGAAGATATATGCCCAATATATGAGATGTTCAGAGATATGTAGGAAGTAAAGAAAGATGAGATCAGTGGCTGTTGTTCTCCATGATTTGCCTCTAGTTTCAATGGAGATTGACAAAGTGGTAGACTCTGCTTTTGTGGCACTTATCATGCCTGCCTGCAATTTTATCTACCTTCCTCCTAGACTATAGGCTATTCGAGAAGCTCATTTACCTTTGAGTTCTGACACTGAGCATAGGGTTTGGGTCTTAAGACACACTGACTTTCCAGTCTCTCTCTCCCAAGCAACCTTCATGCCCAAATGGCCTTTCCCCACTTGCATAAAAGAAAATGTTCTTTGAAAAGTAGGGCAGGAGCAGCCACGATGCTAGATGGCCCTGCTGGTTTGGACCCAATGGACCATCCACGCCAGTGCTGCATCTCTTTGAGACCACAGAAAATTTTCTAATAATGCATTCACAATCAACTGTGCCCAGTAATAAGGTCAGGGTCTTCATTTTGGAAACTGCTAGTAAGTTGTTTGGAAATGAGAAGTCTGGCCCTAAGGAGGCCCTATTCCTAAGCCTCATTCAGAGCAAGCAGGCTCTAGCCAAACTTACTATTGGTGTGCATGTGTTGTTGGCGGGGAGCAAATAGGATGGGTGGGTTTCTAGGAAGGATGGGGACTTTCTGAGCAATGTAGCCGTTTAATTACATCAATTTCTGTGCTTATGTCAGAAGAAGACGTTAAGGCAGGTGCCAGGGGTCCATGCGGGAGGCAGTGGAGGGCTGAACTGTGAATGAGGGAGGATGTCTATGGGCACGTGGGGTCTATTCTTCCTATTATATCATCTGAGCATGAGTGAAAGGTAAAATGTGCAGGTACTATGTAGATAAGCAATTAGACCTATATTGTTTAATTATTTTATTTATTTATTTTTTTGAGATGGAGTTTCGCTCTTGTTGCCCGGGCTGGAGTGCAATGGCGCGATCTCGGCTCATGGCAACCTCTGCCTCCCGGGTTCAAGCAATTCTCCTGCCTCAGCCTCTCAAGTAGCCTGGATTACAGGCATGCGCCACCACCCCCGCCTAATTTTATATTTTTTTAAGTAGAGTCGGGGTTTCTCCATGTTGGTCAGGCTGGTCTCAAACTCCCGACCTCAGGTGATCCATCCACCTCAGCCTACCAAAGTGCTGGGATTACAGGCATGAGCCACCGTGCCCGGCCTAATTAATTTTTTAGAGATGAGAGTCTCGCTATGTTGCACAGGCTGGCCTCGAGTCCTGGGCTCGAGCGATCCTCCTGCCTCAGCCTCCTGAGTAACTGGGACTACAGGTGCATGCCACCATGCCCGGCTCAAATTTATTTTGTGTTTCAAGGGGCTCTCCAAGGCAGTGGTAAGGAACAGAGGGATGTTAAAGATGACTGAGATTCTAAACAAGGACGACTCAGAGAATGATTCTGCTGATAACAGAAATGGGTGAGTCAGGAGGAGTAGATTTTGGAGGGAAAGATGCTAGGTAGGTCCTTGGGCATGTCTGAGGAGCAGTGTGACATGCAGGTGAATATACTCAGCAGTCTTTTGGAAATTCACCATGCAGCTGGATGCCTGAGACTTGTCTTCAGGGAAATAATATTTGGAATTCAAGACATGGACCAGGGTGCCAAAGCAAAGGCAGTTTGATTTGATTCAGAGGCATAGTGATCTGGATAGTAAATATCAGAATGTGGTTTTACTGCACTAAAAAGACAAAACCTAGATAGAATTTTGTGTTATAATTCCAAATACCATCATCCTTGTTGCTCCTCTGTCAGTATTATTCTAACGTCTAAGAATCATCCCCTTGGTGATACTGTACAGTCTTGTGTATCTATATTGAGAGAAACTGGGCAAAATTCAGATATTTTAGAAGATAAAAGATAGAACCGGGCACGGTGGCTCATGCCTGTAATCCCAGCACTTTGGGAAGCTGAGGCAGGTGGATCACCTGAGGTTGAGAGTTCAAGACCAGCCTGATCACCATGGAGAAACCCCGTCTCTACTAAAAATACAAAATTAGCCGGGCATGGTGGCAGGTGCCCGTAATCCCAGTTACTCAGGAGGCTGAGGCAGGAGAATTGCTTGAACCGGGAGGTGGAGGTTGTGGTGAGCCGAGATTGCGCCATTGCACTCCAGCCTGGGCAACAAGAGCGAAACTCCATCTCAAAAAACAAACAAACAAACAAAAGACATTTAGAAGATGTGTGGGACAATGTCCCCCTCCTCCAAATGGTTCAAATCAGAGCATTGCTTATATGAAGACTGTAGGTTTTACAGGATTTAATACTTTTTTTTTTTTTTTTTTTTTTTTGAGATGGAGTCTCACTCTGTCGCCCAGGCTGGAGTACAGTGGCACGATCTCAGCACACCGCAACCTCTGCCTCCTGGGTTCAAGCGATTCTCCTGCTTCAGCCTCCCAAGTAGCTGGGGACTACAGGAGCATGCCACCACGCCCGGCTAATTTTTGTATTTTTTGGTGGAGATGGGGTTTCACCACGTTGCCCAGGCTGGTCTCGAACTCCTGATCTCAAGTGATCCACCCGCCTTGGCCTCCCAGAGTGCTGAGATTACAAGCGTGAGCCACCTTGCCCAGCCAGGAGTTAATACTTTCTAGAAATGTTAAGTCACTGAATTAGCAGAACCACAGAACTTAAGCCTGCTATTTCCCAGTCAAAGGTTTGCATTGAGTGTCTGGCTAGAAACCGAAAGGAATGGTTCAACTGGTCTTGAGAGGCCTACTCTAGGTCCTCAAGAAAGTGTCCTCAGTTGGGCCATCTAACCAAAGGGAATACTGCAGAAAGACCTGTTTCCAGAAAGTTCGAAATTCACGCACAGATCACATTAGAACTCTGATCCTGTCTACTACTATTTTAGGAAAAAGAGCTTACCAAGGGTTTGATTTTTAAGTTTCTAAGAAAATTAAGCAGGGAGGAGGGGTAAAGACAAAACCGTGTGTTTTGTGCCATTCCCCAATTCTTCCAAACGGAGGAAATCCTGGAAGCGGCTCATACTCACCACCCACAGCTCTGCATCTGGATCATTTACCTGGAACGTCAGAATACAGAAGTGTCAGCAGACATCCTGTGCTGTTCCATTCCTTTTAAATTCATTTGTTAAGTACTTTTTAAAATTAATGTGTTAAGTGCCAGACACTGCAATAGGCGTCGAGGATACAAAATCTGAACAGGATATAATCCAGCAGATGAGGGTGGGTGAAGGTATTTGTGACTGACACAACAGATGTTTTTCACAGGCATCCATACATTTTTGAAAAGCCTTCACAGGGGCTCTGGAGAGGACTCACCAAACCCAGAATGGGTATTTTAAGGGCCCTCCACCCCTACCCCCCACCAGTCTCAAGAAATGAGGGAAATTACTATGAAGGGGGTCCCCAAGCCGACTAGAAAGTTTAATGATGCTATAAAGGGTTTTGTTCTGCTTCATCTCCTAGGCCCTGAGATGTGTCCAGTGTCGTCCGCGGGCTGGACGTTAAGGCAGGGGCCAGGGCCGCTTCTGCTGAAGTCCCCTGGGAAGTTCCACGCGCGGAATCAGCCCCTTCCAGGGTGTGAGCCCGGCTGTAGGACTCGCTTCCATGAACACATCCACGTCTCTTAGACGGGGGAGAAAGTGGGGGCTTCCTTAGCAGAAACCCCAAGTGCCGTCCTCCCCATGAACTGTGCGCCCCTGCGACTCTGCGGGCTAGTCAGTTACACGACCCGCCACGCCAGGGGGCGGAGCTGGGAGCCGGGCGGGTCCCCCTCCCACCGCGGCCGCCTGACCTGCACGAAGGCCGCCATTGCGAAGAAGGCGGCCATGAGCCCGTTGCAAGCCCGCCACAGGGAAGGCGCCATGGCTCGGGGAGCGCGGCGGCGCGGGGCGGCGACTCCTGCCTGGTACGGACCGGCTCCCTCCTTCCGCGGAGGGACCGAGACCCCGCCCCGGTTTCGGTCCCCTGGGGACACTGCCTTGGCAGTCGCTCGGCGCCGGGGGCGGGGAGGGAAGGGCGTGGCTGGAGCCAGTACTCGGCGTCCCATTCAGCCCGCCCCGAACGCCGCGGGGTGGAGGCGGCGCCGTCACCGTTTCGCGGATGGGAAAGCGAGTCCCCTCCAGAGCACAGGGCTCGGTGGTGGACAGAACTCGAATTTGAACCCAAGTAGGTTCAACTCCAAAGCCTGTTTTCACTAAAGCTACCTTCCTCATATTAAAAAAAAAAAAAAGAAGAAGAAGAAGGAAAAAAGGAAGGCAGGCAGGCGGGAGGGAGGGGAGAGAGGTAGAAAAAGAAAGAAAGAAAGAAAGAAGGAAAGAAAGGGCCGGGCGCAGTGACCCACGCGAAAGAAAGAAAGGGTCGGGCGCAGTGGCTCACACCTGTAATCCCAGCACTGTGGGAGGCCGAGGTGGGCGGATCACCTGAGGTCAGGAGTTCGAGACCAGCCTGGCCAACATGGTGAAACCCCGTTTCTACTAAAAATACAAAAAAAATTAGTCGGGCGTGGTGGCGGGAGCCTGTAATCCCAGCTACTCAGGAGGCTGAGGCGGGAGAATTGCTTGAACCCGGGAGGCGGAGGTTGCAGTTAGCCCAGATTGTGTGCCACCGCACTCTAGCCTGGGCGACAGAGTGAGACTCCTCAAAAAAAAAAAAAAAAAAAAAAAAAAAAAAAAAATTTTTAAAAAAAAAAAAAAAAAAAAAAAAAAAAAGGTTTTTACAAAAATAAGAAAGAGAAAGAAAAAGAGGGCTGTGTGTGTGTGTGTGTGTGTGTGTGTGTGTGTGTGTGTGTTCTGTTTAGTATTTATGCATTTCCTTCCAAAGCTCAGGAACTTTCAAATCCCTGTAAGCGTTATGGTAATTTCTAGAGTGACGACAGTTATATTAACATCTTATACGGCTCACAGCTTTTCCGCAGACAAGCTCATTTATCTTCATGGGCTTTTATTATAAAAGATATTTACATATTATACATATTTACAATTCTCTCCCGCCACCAAAACCAACAACATTTCCAAAATTGCTCATGAATTTCTTATGAACCAAAGACACTGAAATATTCACTGTTCTCCCCTAGTCTGTCTTGTCTTTTTCTGTTTTGTAATTCGCCCTTCTACTTAGTTCCTCCCCGGTCTCATTTACACATCCATAGGCCTCATTTCTGCTGTTTTAAAGTCTTTATCGCTTCAAATCAGGAGCTTCTGTGCCTGTCCGCCTTTCCTTTGAGCTAAATCTCCTCAAACTGTCTAGTTTTTTTTTTTTTTTTCTTTCCCTCTGAATTTCATTCTTTTCACGAAACACTTATTTCAGGAATGTTGTCTGCTCTGTGCCTGGTGCTGGGACCATGAAGGTCAGGTGCTGGGACCAGGCAGGGAGCCTGGTGGCTGGCGGGGAGTGGGCACCCGTGTTTGCAGAGGTGGGGTGGGGACAGCGGGGACCAGCACTGGGTGGAGTACCACCACTAAATCAGCCCTGGGATTGGAAACAAACCAAGACTACTCTCACTGTCCTTTTCCTTACGTAAAAGAAAAAAATGAAAGCTGCATTCCCCCTGCACCCCCAATTCGTATGCTAAAGGCCCTAACCCCCAATGCCTCAAAATGGGACTGTATTTGGAGACAGGGACTTGATAGAGATGATTAAGTTAAAATGAGGTTATTAGGGTGGGCCCTAATCCAATATAACTAGTGTCCTGATATGAAGAGGGGACAGTTACAGGGGGAAGACCACATGGGCACACAGGGAGAAAATGGCTGGCTGCAAGCCAAGGGGAGAGGCCTCATGAGAAACCAACCCTACCGACATCCTGAATTTGGACTTCCAGCTCCAGAACTGTAAGAAAATAAATTTCTGTTGTTTAAGCCACCTAGTCTATGGTGCTTTTTGGGGCAGTCCTAGCAAATTAATACAGGGAATGATTATAATATCCACAGGGAAACAATGGCATGGAAGTGCTTTTCAGCTCTTGAATGCCATACAACCACCATGAAGTTGTACAGTTTTCACTGTTGTCTGGGACTTTCTTTTTCTTTTTCTTTATTCTTTTTTTTTTT